TATGCTACAATATAATGAGAAGATGTGTTTTTCTTTATCTTTTGTATGATATTTGCATTTTATGAAGTTTTTGCATTTTTATCAATAAACACCAGTGAGTATATATTTTCTGACTGGATTTCTTTGGGAAACAAGAAGTGGACATTGCAAAGTGTATAGCTTTCATGGCTAATATTTTCCTGGAGTTTTTGCTGTGTTCTGCACAAACAGGAGTGTTTGTGATTATCACTCTGCACGACACACTTACTTCGATAGCTGAAAATGCAAATGATCTGCAAACTCTAGTAATAAAAGTAAAGGACCACACTGAAAAAATGGGACTAAGATTAAATATAAAGAAGGCCAAACAAATGACAACAGGTACAACAAGCAGCCTTAGAATTGGCAATGAATATCAAAGTGGTGGATAGCTTCTGCCTTTTAGGATCAATCGCCAAGAGTAAAAGAGCAAGCAGTCAAGAAATGTGCTGCAGACTAGCACTTGGCAGAGCAGCCATGAAGGCCTTGGAAAAGATATTCAGATGCCATCATGTGTCTAGACCCACAAAGATGAGAATTATGCAAGCCATGGCATTCCCTGTGACACTCTATGGAAGCAAAGGTTGGATTTAAAGAAGCAGGATAAGAAGAGCATTGATGCTTTTGAACTTTGGTGTTGGAGAAGACTCCTGAAAATACCGTAGACAGCCAAGAAAACAAACAGATGGATCATACATCAAATCAACTCAGACTTCTCACTTGAGGCACAAATGACCAGGCTTAAATTATCATATTTCTGACAAATTATCATGAGGATCTATCTCTCTGGTTTTAATGTTGGGAAAGGTGGAAGTAAAGAGAAGAAGAGGACCAGCAGCTAGCAAATTAGTTCAGTTACAACAATGATGGGTGGACTATTGGAAGACCTGAAGGACCATATTGGGATGGATCATGGAGATAATCTATCTATGGGGTCACTAAAAGTTGACATTGACTTGATAGCAGATAATCAGTCACTAGGTTGATGTCATGGACACTCACATTAGCAAATGTTAATTGAAGACTAGTCTAAGTCTAGAGTCACCCGTTGGGGGAGATGGGCGGCATACGAATTTGATAATAAATAAATATAAATAAATAAATAAGTATTCCATAAACAAGTTAAAGCTGTTTTATTCCAATGTGCTTTCAGTCCCAGCTGATTGACCATAGGTAATCTTGGGTTTTATCTTGGCTGCCCAGAGTCCTTTGTGACTCTATAAAGACAGTTAATAAAAATAAGTCATTAAAACTGTTGTCCCTTATGAAACATTGCAATTGTAAAAAGCTGCTGATTATAAAATTCTTCCCAGATTTCAGATAGGCATGAGAAAGGGAGATCGAGGAGAAATCTGCCAAGGCGGATCTTACCCTGCAAAGAAGCAATCGGGTCACATTCCTCCACAATCCACCTGAAAAATGTTCTGGGTCTGATGCACGAAGGGGCTTTCCCCACTTCACTGGCCATGTCTGCAAAAATTCCCTGCCCCTGGAAAAGAAGAGTAGAAGGTTCCCAGGAGGAGAATGGGATTATAATGGATCATAATCCTTTTCTAAGGATTGAGGTTACCTGCTCTTTGCAATTACCAGGATGAAATGCTCCCACCTGCTGCTCTCCCTGAGTCTTTTCTTCAGCTTTACTCAGCAGGAAGCCTTCAGCCAGGGCCACTGCCTGGGAACTAGTCTCCGGTCCACATTCTCTAACCCAGCTCTCCATCTCTGGGGGAAGGACAGCCAGGAACTGCTCCAGGATCACTAAATCCAGGATCTGATTCTTTGTATGCCGCTCGGGTTTGAGCCACAGGAAGCAAAGATCACGGAGCTGGTTGCACACCTCCCGGGGTCCCCAAACCTCCTGGTAGTGGAACTGCCGGAAGCGAAGGCATTGTGCATCCACAGTGTAGCTGAACTCCCCTGGCATCACCTTAGCAGCCCTGAACTCCACCTGGCTCCCAGCCTGGAGAGCATCAGAGTTCCTTCCTGCTTCTGGACCGGCCAGGTTTTGCTCCATTTCTGAACCGCGTTCCACAGTAGCTCCCATCAGGAGCAGAGAAGCACAGTCCCCTGAAAGCTCTTCCTTTCTTAAGGGGAACAGTGTTTGAAGCTATAAAAAGCCAAGGTGTAGCACATTCTCAAAGCAGTAAAGGATCCGGTAAGCAATCCCAGCTGGTAACTGTGGCATCTCCTGGTAGAGAAACTTTAAACCTCAAAGAGCAAATGGAGGTACAGTAGAGATAGTCACACCTGCAAAATGGAGAACAAAGCCATAAGCCTACTTTTCCCAACTTGGGGCTTTCCAGATGTGCTGAAGTGTAAATCCCAGAATACCTAGGGATGTGGAGAATGGAAGTCCTGCCCATCTGGAGGGTACTAGGCTAGAGAAGACTGAATTAATCTGATTGAGAAACACTCAGTTCAGTTTCCCTGCCATTGTATTTATTTATTTGCCTGTCAGAGTTACATCCTGTCTTTTCTTTAGGAGTTCAAGGTGTTATACTTTGTGCTGCCTTCTACTTCCCCCCCCCACACACACACAACCATCCTGCAAGGTAGTTTAGGCTGAGAAGGACTAGGGAGCTTCCATGACTGAGTGGGGACTAGAACCTGGGTCTCTCCACTCCCAGTCTGACACTTTCACCACTACCCCACCCTGCCTCTCTCCCTCCTCTTTTCTTGCTACTTTTCAACTTCCTCTCCCATCATTATCTGGTGTCATTATCACAGAATCATAGAATGCAGTGCTTCGGATCCAAAACCAGAAAGATGCTTTACAGCAGGTGTGGGCATGCCTGCCACACCTGCCAGTGCCTTCTTAAAGAAGCAGCCTCTTTCCTTAAGCTTGTACAGTAGCTGCAGGATCCCAGAGAAACACATGCTTGAGATAAAGAACTGTTGAAAGATTTACTGTTGGCACTTCCTTTACTCAGATGGGTGAGCCGAGGAAAAGATGCTGTTTCACTCTTGCTCCAAAGCACCTTTTTGGCTTCAGATCTGATATACTGCACATCCCTAATAGAAGTAAGGGACATTAGAGACCATCTACTCCCACCCCTATCTAGTGCAGGAATCCACCAACATTGCATCCCCAATAGATGGCCATCCAGCCTTTGCTGAAACCCTTCCTTTGTGGCCCATTGTAGAGCACCTTTTCCTGCAGTATCCAGACAGTATCCAGCGTGTATTCTTATTTCTTTTCCATTTTTCTTTTCCTTTTCTTTTACTGAGTACAAAAACAAAGCAAAATAAACAATACCCAAAATTATAAACAAAGGAAAAGAAAACTAGGGGGGAAAATCATGCAGGGCATATATAAATATATATATTTTAAATGTCATAGCCCTGACAAAGCTCCCAGGTCCTCTGATATTCAAGACATACTATATTTAACACTGTTACTAGAACAAGAAAAAATAAGTTAAGCATCAATAGATTACAGGGCTGCAGAGTAGACTGTAAAGCATGTTTGTCTGTATCTCCCAGAAGAAGGCAGTGGAAATCCACTTCTGGACTACTGCCAAAAAAACTGCATAAATGTATCCCAAAGTTCCCCAGAAATTGAGCTGGGGAACCAAAGTTTACTTTTCCTGCTCCATATTTAGCCAGACGTGGTTGAATGAAAAGTGCCAAGAAAGCGAATAACCAAATCCAGGTTTGAACATTTGTTCATCCAGTAATACAACAGAAGTAAAAATCAGTCTCCTTATCCAGATCTGCGGACTTTCCTTCTTCATTTCTAGGGGCAGGGATTGCAATTCTTAGATGATCAGGGCTGCAGATCGGCGGGGCGGGGGGGAGATTGGGGTTGGTTCAGGGACGGGTTCCTGGCAGCGGGAG